CAGTACCTATCACTTTCACAGAGCCGGAAGCACGGTGACCACGCTGCCCGCCAGCGACCCCCATCCTCCAATGGTTCCCGGGCTCTAATTCTCTTACCATGGCCCAGGAACACAACCACCAGCTAGGAGGAGGAGAACATGGTGAGACCGAGGCAAATCCATGATTTAATCTCACATGTAAACAATGAAGCTAGAAGTGATATCACTTCGTGTTTCAGATGCACCATTTTCTGGCCAGTACAGCCAGGGGACACATCTAACAAAGCCGATCTGAGCTTGGTTAGATGATGTGATTGGCAGGACAGAAATTGGGATCTATTAGACCTCTAATGTCTCCATAAAGAGTACCTGCCCAATGCTATCACACACCCCTTGTGCTAGCAATCAAGTAAAAATAAATGTAAAAAAAAGAAAAAAGTTTTAAGAAATAAAATAATAAAATATATTCAAATATGAAAAAAAATTCCGTAACTCCCATTGCACACATACGAAAACCGAGGTCGTACCACACGTGTGTCAGAGTGAGAACAATATTTCTAGCACAAGAGCTCCTAGTTAACTCTAAACTGATGAGCTGTAAAGGCTTGTATCTATGATTTTTGGGCACCATAGTTTTTGATGATATCGCGAGCGCACACAATTTTAAGACATGGAATGCTTGGTATCCATTTACTCAGTGCAACCTCATCATCTTTTATATTTTAACCAAAAATAGGTATTATATAAAATTGTATTTATTTATTAAATTTATTTAAGATTGTAAGCTCTAACAAGCATGGCCCTCTGAATCCTCCTGTATTAATTTGTATTGCCATTGTACTATGTGCCCTTATTTTGAAAAGCGCTGCATAATCTGTTGGCGCTATATAAATGCTATATAATTATATTATTTCCTGGAAATTTGAGATTAATAAACAGTTGTGCAAATATTATGTGACAAAAGTTTGCAACTATCACCTTTTTATTCTACAGGGCCTCTGCTTTCAGAAAATATATAATGTTCTGGGTGTTTAAGTAATTTTATTGCCAAAAATAAAGATTTTTACATGTATGCGAAAAATAAAAACAAAATGCTCTGGAGCTGAATTGGATATAACATTTTTTTTGGAGAAGAGAGAGTAACAAACATATAGCTGTGAGTCCAGTCAATCTGCATTCTTCCTAAGAATAAAAATGATAGCCAACTCTTTTCAGGGTCTTGATTGATCACTATTTATCTGGATGTACCTTGAGCAGGTGAAAGAAAGAAAACTGGACTGAGAGAAGGTATCCTGGTGTTGAGTTCTCTAGCATAGACTAAAGCTGGCCATACATGTACAGGTTTTCAGCCAAGAATTTTCGTTTCAAGAATGTTTGTTTGATTTTCTAATCGTTAGTGGGCTCAAATCAATGTTTGTTTTCGACAACAGTGACTGGAAAATTCGAAAAGGCAGGAAGGAAAGTTTTTTTCGATCAAACTAATTTTTGGCCAGTGTGTGTGGTTATCGTTCAGCAATTACATTTATTTTAAAATTGAATGTTAAAAGCAAAAGACAATTTTTGAAGGACACTCGTCCATTCATCAAATGTTCAAAGAATTTTCATACAACTTTTCTTACGAATATTCTCGGATGAAAATCTACAAGTGTATGACCAGATGAAGACCATGCTCTGGCTGCTGGACTTCACATGTTTACCCCATGAAAATAAAGATTAAAGAGCCTAAAAATGTCCTTGTCTAAGGACTTACTACACTTTAGTACATGAGGGATCTGCATAGATATTTATGGTCAGTGGTAGAAGTTGTTCTATATGTATGTGGAATGTCAGTGAGCACTATGGGTGTGTAGAAAGGTATAAGCTGCTGGTACTAAAGGATTGTTGTTCTATATAAGTAATTTTTTACACTGCACCAAGGGAAACCACCAGCCTGGATACATTAAGATAATATGGAGTCCATTGTTCAGTTTAAAAATAAATGTCTTGGCAAATCAACCCCATAGAAATGATCAAAGGATTAGTCTATAGAGCATTTTCGTGTTTCCTAAACTTTGGTTAACTATCTAACACTGTTCCTAGCTTTGCAGTTCCATATATTAACTGGATTCTTGCCACAGCCCATAACTCAGAAGGAAGTTGGTGGACTACATAAACCAATTAATGGATGTACACTCTCATAGCTTGTGGTACTTGTTGATGCCATCAATGTCTGTTGTATCCACCTTCTTCATCTTCTGCATAGGGTTCTGATCACAACGCTTTGTTTTCTTATACATTCACCGTAATGCTCAACCAAAGGAGTTTTGTCCATTTAGATACTAGGTCCTAAAAGAAGTATTGGCAGAATACAATAGCACTGCGGAGGAATTTCACAGTCAGTGTTGATGGGGGAAGCAAACGATTCCACGACCAAGGGTTGCAGAAAAGTAAATCACATCATCTATGGCTTGCTGTCGTGTCCTGTGTATGTAGGAGAAGAAAAAACAAGACCTGAAAAGGGTTAAAATTAAACAAAAAACTATGGCTATAATTTTTAAGGTGTCCATCACATCCTATAGTCTTTGCAAGTACCAATAAATGAAAAAAAGGACAGATTCACATTATATAATTCAGATTCACATCAATACATCAATACATCATGAGGATTCAGTTTCACTTGAGAGAGTAGCATGGTGTTATTTCCACATATTTCCTTCTAAGTACTACCTAAGTGAGAGCATACAGTCAATACTTATTGACATTCTTTCCATATTTTGGATTAATAGATTCTATTGTGTAAAATGAAATAAATTAATTCCAAAGAATTACTGATTTTGAATAAAAATGTAAATTTGTGTTTATCAAGGCAATGTAATAATTAATAACATACCCATAAAGTTGATCATTTTAGTTTTAAGCTAGGAATACTTTATAGAAAACAAGGCCTAAAGATTCTTTAATTACACTGTTCAACAAGTTTTGGAAACAAAAGGATCCATTTCTTAATGAATTCTTTGAGTTCAAATATAACAATGAAATTTGTCAAAGTTTTTCTGTAAACGGAAAGTTTTCTTATAGGCGTAATGACTACATAATGCACAATAATTAAATAGATAGATGTCTTTCCACAAATATAAAGCAAGTGATATTGACTACATAAAAAGCCTAAATGGCATAAATATTGCATAGGATTACCAAGAAAAATTATAGCCATAAGCTAAGTTGAATCATTTTTAATACTTAGGATTCTCACTAGTTTTGTCTTCAGTTTGTGTCGGTTTTGCTTCTCTTGGCTTTTCTCTTGTATTCGAGGAAAGGGCTTAACTGCACGTGACTACACGCTTCAACTTGACACAACCACAAAGGATTCTGGTGCTTTAGGAATTGGTAGCCCCTTCCATGAGGAACTGGACGTATTGCCGATGGAATATTTGGATAGTGCACAGATAACTTTTTCTTCTTATTTAGCCCTTTTACAATTGGAGGCGCCATACAAAATAACAATTACTAACATGATCTGTTGGCTCTCTCCAAATCATTGGCACAGTGAAAGCATAGAATTCAACCATTGCTTGCCATCCCACAAGAATTGCAGCATATATGTGGTGCCCAGCTCTTGTCCTGGTCTCCTATCTTGCAGCCAAAATACAAGTTGTAGGCTTTCTTAATCATTCCTGTTATCCTCCTTTTTTGTGAGATAAAAGTTATTTCACCGCAGATATAGCAGAAATGATCTGCTTTATTCACACAAGTTCGAATTACTGAGTAGCCTATATAAGCATAAATGTAAAGACGCTGTCGAAATCAGCTTTGCAGCTTTTATGCAGTGAAGTGATGCAATTAAAGGCTAATATTGCATCATAATATACATGCAATTTTCTATTACCAGTATCAATTGCGCAATATGCAGCTGAAGTTGCATCATAAGTTTTGAATGGCTTACGTCATTAGATGGGGAATATATAATGAAAACTAGAGCCAATCAACATTTTTTAGGGTCATTTTCGTTTTCAGCACCCCAAAATTATGTAAGATTAGCTAAAGACTTTTTACCTGTTGAACAGTGAATTATTCAAGTCCTATTTAAAGGGTCTTGCTGATGGGGTTAAATCAGCTAAAGAACCTACAATTTGCATGACACTAAAGACAAGCAGTGTGGAAAGACCTATAATAAAATCTAAAAAATGTATAGCATTATATTATCTATCAAATCCTTCATAATACCAGAAGAATTTAATTTTAAGCTCAGTTTAGGGAGTGGTTTGGAAATATTTTTTTTTCTCCCTCAAATAGTAGAAAAACTTCCATCAGAATAAATAGTTTTGCTGATTCTTTGAAAAAAATGAAATACTGGCAAAATTCTAGGTTCGCTTGCTGTTACTAATTATGAATCCTGGCTTCTTGTATTATTCGTGGAAGTAAAGTCTGCTTTCTATATCCAGTGTCAAATTACTTACCAAAGACACTGACACAAATACTTCACATCTTTAACATTAATCATTGTGAATGCTGTTACTCTCGTTCACGGTTTGTTCAAACGGTTTTTGGTTAAAGGAATATTCCATAAACTAAATGCTGATTCATGGTGTCTGTGATTTAAATAAAGCTCCACTGGCATCTTGTGTTTGAAGGAGATAAGCTGTGTCATTTGATCTGATGTAACCCACAGTTTAAAATAGATACAGTCCACTCGGGTACATTAATCAGGTCAGCAGCCCTTTCCCATTACATCCATGTACAGTCTGCAGTGGATAAATATAGCATATTTGCAATTGTAGAAGCTATAGTTATGTGCTTAATGATTCTGTACAGGGTTCCACTTTGCTTTTCAGGACATGAGATGCATTACAAATATTACCAGAAATAACTGTATAAAAAAACACATGGGTCTTTCCTTTTCAAAAATACATATGGTAATATTAATTCTACCCATTTGTCAAGTTTGTAAGAACTGATTACCACCTAGCAGGTGCCTAGAGGTACCTGTTACACCAAATACCAGCCAGTACTCAAGGGCAGCACACCTTAAAGTGTTACTAAACCCATGACTCTGCATTCACTATATCTGATCTCCCACAGTACACACAACATGGAAGTGCATGGAAGTGCAATTATTTTAGAAAATATAAACTAAATACCTTTTCTCATCAGCAGTTAGAGCAGTCTTGTGACTTTTATCAGTGTTCAACAGAGTACATGCTAAAGCTTGTAGCAGGAGTTTTCATTCTGCTCTAGGAGGATGCAGAACCCCTGACCCATTGTCTGGACAGTGCTGATTGGCTCTGTGGTGATCACATGCACTCTCCCAAGAAAAACAAAATTCTCTAGCAATACACACCAAACTGAACATGTGCAGAGTGTTACATAGTTACATAGTTAGTCTGGCTGAAAAAAGACAAAAGTTCATCCAGTTCAACCATTTAAAAAAAAAAAAAAGTTATAATCCTATACCCACAGTTGATCCAGAGGAAGGCAAAAAACCCAGCAAAGCACGATCCAATTTGCTCCTGCAGGGAAAAAATTCCTTCCTGATCCCCCAAGAGGCAATCGGATATTACCTGGATCAACTTTACCTATAAATGTTAGTATCCAGTTATATTCTGTGTATCTAAGAAAAGAATCCAGGCCTTTTTTATAGTAATCCACTGAGCTGGCCAGAACCAACTCTTGAGGGAGTCTATTCCACATGTTCACAGCTCTCACTGTAAAGAAACCTTTCTGTGTTTGGAGATTTACATTTCTTTTCCTCCAGACGTAAAGAGTGCCCCCTTGTCCTCTGTGATGACCTCAGGGTGAATAGTTCTACACCGAGTTCACTATATGAACCACTGATGTATTTATACATGTTGATCACATCCCCCCTTTAATCTCTTCGTCTCAAGAGAGAATACATTCAGTTCCTCTAATCTTTCCTCATAGCTGAGCTCCTCCATGCCTCTTATCAGTTTGGTTGCCCTTCTCTGTACTTTCTCCAGTTCCCCAATGTTCTTTTTGTGAATTGGTTCCCAAAACTGAACTGCATATTCCAGATGAAGTCTTACTAATGATTTGTACAGGGGTAAAATGATATCTCTCTCTCTGGGTCTATACCTCTTTTAATACAAGAGAGGAGTTTGCTCACTTTAGAAACCGCAGCTTGGCATTGCATGCCATTATTAAGCTTGTGATCTACCAGAACTCCCAGATCCTTCTCCACCATTGATTTCCCCAGTTGTACTCTCCCTAGTATGTATGATGCATGCATATTCTTAGCCCCCAAGTGCATAAACTTACATTTCAAAGAATATATATAAGCGAGCGCATGTACAAAGAAGCGTATGTTATAAGTAGCTGCTAGCACTACAGGGCATAGGCAACAATCCCAATAAAAGCATAAAAAATATATAAAGTGCAGGGCTATTTAAACGATGCTTGCACTCGACGTCGGCAATGGGCGTACCTCTGAGGTCGTGCTGTTGCACAAAACGCATTGGGTGGAGCCTTCATTGCTGACGTCATACCGCTGTCTCCTAGGCAAGGAGCGGCAGCCATTTTGGTATCTGCTTTATACCTCACTCCACGTGGATTGTCTTTTATATATGTATATCGACATTTAAGCAATAAATACTACACTATATTAGTTCCTTTGGCTCCTGTGGTTGAGCTATCTTCCCCAGATTAAAGATATACGCACCACCGGTAATGAGAGGATGCTGGATGATTAACCCCTAAGCTGCTTCTCTGCTCCTGCACCCAGATGTGACAGATTGTAACCAGTGATTGTATACAGTACACCAAAGTTCTGGTCAGTGCACACCCATTAGAAGTGGTAGATTACCTTTAAAGATATACACACCTCTGCACTTTGGTCACATGGATATATCATGTCTTAATTTGAGGACTATTTTCGCTCAATTATTTTCCCATTGAAATCAGAAGGATTTATATGGACATTTATTTACCCACTATATGCACATATTGCACTCAATAGCACTTTGTATTTTTGCACTGATAATTTTATTAATTGCTAATAATTTATTTATATATATATTTTAGCGCTGCACTTTATATATTTTTATAACCTTACATTTATCAACATTAAACCTCATTTGCCACATAGTTGCCCAATTAAACAGTGCATTGAGGTCGGCTTGTAAATTGGAGACATCCTGTAAGAACGTTATTCCACTGCACAGCTTGGTGTCATCTGCAAAGACTGAAATGGGATTTTTAATCCTAGACCCTATATCGTTTATAAATATATTAAAAAGTAAGGGTCCCAACACTGAACCTTGGGGTACACCACTTATAACCCTAGACCAGTGTTTCTCAACTCCAGTCCTCATGGACCCCCAACAGGTCATGTTTTCAGGATTTCCCTCAGATGAAACAGCTGTGGTAATTACTAAGGCAGTGAAACTGATCAAATCACCTGTGCAAAATAATGGAAATCCTGAAAACATGACCTATTGGGGGTCCATGAGGACTGGAGTTGAGAAACACTGCCCTAGACCATGCAGAGTATGAATCATTAACCACTACTCTCTGAATACAATATTTTAGCCAGTTTTCTATCCATTTACATACAGATTTTTCCAAGCCCCTAGACTGTACCTTACACATTAGCCGTGTGTGGGGAACTGTGTCAAACTCTTTTGCAAAATCCAAGTATACCACGTCCACTGCCACCCCTCTGTCCAAGGTTTTGCTCGCCCCCTCATAAAAAGAAATCAGATTTGTTTGACAACTTCTGTCTTTCATGAATCCATGCTGTCTGTTGCTTAAAATATTTTTTTTCCAGCAAGAACTCATCTATGTGGTCTTTTATTAAACTCTCCAATATCTTCCCAACTATAGAAGTTAAACTAACAGGTCTATAATTACTTGGTAAAGAGTTTTAAATATTGACACCACATTGGCCTTACACCAATCCAGTGGTACTATGCCAGTCATCAAAGAGTCCCAAAAAATTTGAAACAATAGCTTTGAAATGACAGAGCTCAATTCTTTAAGGACCTGTGGGTGTATGCCATCCGGTCCAGGTGCTTTATTCACCTTTATACTGTCTAAATACTAAATGTCTCCACATGATATGTCTTATCAGGAGATAAGAGGGGGGCATTGGAAGAGGGGGAGGATCAGAGAAGTCAGGATCAAACAGCCGTTTTACACAATGCAGAGGATTAACCCTTTAGGTTCCACAGTGAGTATAACAAGCATGCTTTACTGCTTATACAGACTTATTTTATTGTTGTGGGTTTATTAACACTTTAAGTAAAACATGTAAGTGCTATTAACAGCATTCACAAAAGTGGATATAAACTTACTCTTACCTGCGTACGGTGTGAAATATTTATCAGTCACACATAGCATACAAAATTGTTTGAAGGACAATGTTCTATGTTGGCAAACATTTAGGCTCGGTTGACACTGCTGCGACTTGGGATCCAACTTGTGAGACCCAAGAAGCATGACATGTGAAATTCCATGTTAGCTAATGACAGCTGTCTAAATCAAGAATTATTGAAGTCACTCCGACTTTAGAAAAGGTCCCTGTACTACTTCAAGGTGACTTCTGTCTGACTTGTGCCCATATACTTTAATGGGGAAATCGCCTTCAAGTTGGATCCTCATCTATAATGATGTGATTTGAATTTGACATTACAGGAAGATTACCCAGGCATTCCATGAAAGTTGCTTCAAAGTCGTTTCAATGTCTTATCAAGTTGTATCAAAGTAATACTCAAGTCGCCAGGAAGAATCCTGGCAAAGTTTCACTGTAAATCGCGTGACTTTCAGGTCACAGTAATGTGAATCGAGACTTAAGCTTAAAGATGAACAATAGGAAACTATAATGTTTTCAGTAATTTCATTGTTGTAGTGAAATTATTATTTTTGAACTGAATATCTAATAGTGATTTATTTATGTGATTTTACACTTCTATATGTTTTCATATGCAAATTAGTAATTGCTACCTCTCCTGGTTATCACTATAGTAGGGAATGTAAATAGCTTTGCCATTTAAAATGCTTGCCCCTGCAGAGCAAAGGTTCACTTAGCTGACCCCCCTGCTCAGCAGCATATACTAACTTTTCCTTTGCTTTCCCACTACTCTGGAAAAAAACTAAGATTTTCATAACAAAAGGGCGAACAAATTACTTACTCCCCCTCTCCTATGTGGGTGCATTAGATGAGTGAGATCTGACAAGGGAGAATGTTTATGTACCCCCTGAAAGGTAAGACCTAAACTTTTTAACCCTCGGAACTGTCATATGGAGTAGAACTTGTGTTTTTGCAGAAAAGCACTTCTAAAGTTTTTGCTTTAGACTTGTATGTACTCACCATAAACTTCTTATCACTGTGTTCATTGAATGATACAGCCGGATCTTTAGATGTTTACCAATGGGTTGTGTCTTTCCCTGTAGAAGTAGGATGTTAGGTACAAAAAAATGGCAATCTAGGCCACATGTGTCAAACACGGGGCACGCAGGCTAAATCCAGCCCGCCAGACCATTTCATTTGGCCTTTGCTCCCAGGGCATTTTTGCAGCGGAAACACAGCAAAACTCCATTCCATCATCTCCGGCTCTCATAGTCTGCTTCTTGCACACTGCGCTGCCAATTGTAAACAGAGAAGTTTCCTGTATTCAAAAGGACAGCGTTCCTCTTACACATCCCAGCCTACCCTGCACTCACAGCATGGGGGATGCAATTGCAGGTGCAATGTGGTCATAGGTGGGATGGGGCATCACCTGGTAGGTTGCACTGTGATCCCCATCTGTGCAGGGATCCTTCGTCCTGGCCATGAATCTGGATACTTTCTGACTGTGCCTGGCTGCTAGAAGATCCATGTCTGGTGTGCCCCATGAAAGACACATTTGGTGGAAGATATCCTAATGAAAGGACCATGTTCCCTGATCCAGGCTCTGATGGCTCTGGTAGTTTACCTGCCAGTTTTCCATCTCTGGAATGTGACTGTCAGATAGGGATGGAACATGTCTTTCCACCCAGCACAGGATGTGAGCTATTTCTGGAGCTGCTGCTTGCACCTCCCAGAAGATTGATATATGCCATATCTGTGGCATTGTCTGATGGCACTCAGACTGGGTGAACCAGCTAAGGAGGAACAGTGAATTAAAGCAACATTGATGGGCAAACCAGATTCTTCATTTTTTCACAGGCCCTGAGCCAACAACCTGCTCTAAACTCCTCCTCACAACCACAGCATGTCAGACTGCCATTCGTCATGAGAATCTGCCAGTGCAGAGTTGGAAGGACTTTCCAGAAAGTAACACTTAGGACTGAAGCCACCACATTCTCATTTGATAGGATAGATGGATGTCCAATGACCTCAGAAGCTTGTCAAATTTGGAAAGAATCTCATTTTGCAGGTCCTGATATGATGTTGTGCATAGGGAACTGCTTTGAAGGAGGCCACAAGGAGTCCCACCACTTGCATAGAGGTATGCTAGGAAGCAAATTCCCAAAGCAAACAGCTACGTTCAACTACCAAGCTGTATGATGAGAGACAATGGTGCTCATGCTGGGGTTTCTGTCAACCCATATAGCATCAACATCAGATAGTAGAAAAGCTGGCAACTCAGTAAAATCTTCCATATTAAACATCTTTATTGGTTCACATAGTAAAAACAAGACCATACTTATGTGTTTCAGCTGTCAAGCCTTAATCATAACACAGTATACTACTAGACTCTCTCCTGTTAATTAGATTTGCTATCCCCCAAATATGGGAATGGGTGAGGCTGCACATGACAATTATATTAAAACGTATGATTTTTAAAATAAAAATAAGGTCAGAAGAATCCAGTCACTAGAAGCATTAACAGAGCACTAATAAACCAAGGTAATTATAAAGGGACAATCACACATGCATACAGAAAACAATTCCTGGTCATATGACTTACATTTACAAGCAACTCCAACCATTATAGGTGTTTCAAACTGACCATGGACAATTTACAGGGAAACTGATACCCACATTTCATTATACAGATTAACCTGCATCCCAGGGACAAAATACCGGGGAACTGATACTAGGGCTTAATTTCATATACAAATTAATATCTCATCAGTGGTTAAGACCATGGGGCCTTCTTGTCTGTAGGATAAATATCCACCAAACCTTCCATCTTAATAATGTATGGTTCTTGTTCTGTTAGTCGATCCTGCTCAGATGCTCACACACTGTAGTTAGTAGCAGACATTTTGTTAGGTGCTCATAGCTGCCATTAAACATATGTCTGCTTTTAGAACTACAACCAAAGAGACGCAATAACACAGTTGTGTTTTTCTCAGATGTCTCCAATTTCTCCTCCATCTTCTTCCTTCCTCTGTTATAATTTCATAGGACCGTGGTCCCAATTTCTGTACAACCTTCGCTTTTTGCCAGTGTTTGTCATATTTGCCTATTGGCTGAATCCGTACATTTTCATTGCTCTGGAGAACAGGCAGATCTTTTGCAGATTTATTATAATAGAAAGCTTGCCTATCTTGATTCTTCGTTAGTTTGGCTTTAACATTGCCCACAAGCTTTGGCTTTAGTAGTTGACCTGCAGTTGGTAGGAGAGTCCTTGTACGTCTACTCATAAGCCACTGTGCTGGACTGGTGTCTAGGTCTTGTGTGGGTGTGTTTCTGTGGTCCAGTATAGACAGGTATATCTCTGTACCTGCCTGTTTTGCCTTTTGCATGAGTCTTTTGGCTGTTTTTACTGCTGACTCCGCTTTACCATTACTCTGTGGATATCCAGGAGATGATGTCTGGTGCTCAAATTCCCACCTCTCCCTGAATTGTTTTGAATTCTTCCGATGTAAATTGAGCAGCGTTGTCAGAGAACACAATATCCGGAATGCCATATCTGGCAAAATGGGCCTTGAGTTTTTTTATTACTGTTTTGGCCCTTGTGTCCTGTAAGTAGTCTATCTCCCAGAAGTTGGAAAAATAGTCCACAGTTACCAGATATTCCTTGTCGTTCCACGTGAACAGATCTGTTCCTACTTTTGACCATGGTCTGTTTGGAATTGTATGTGGTTGCAATGTCTCTTTCGGTTGCTTATCATTGCACGATGCACATATTTCACACTGTGCTATAAAGTTTTTTATGTGGTCATTTATTCCAGGCCAATAAACATATTCTCGTGCACGACGTAGACATCCTTCTACACCTAAGTGAGTCGAGTGCAATCTTTCTATAATGTCTCTTCTAAGGGATTTTGGTATGACAGCCCTTTCTCCTTTAAAGATGATTCCATGCTGCACAGAGAGTTCATCTCTTATGTGAAAAAATGGAGAAACCTCCATTGGAGCATGCTGCTTGTGTTTTGGCCATCCCTTCAATATGACAGTCTTTAGGATCTGTAGAGTTTTATCTTCCGCTGTGCAGGTCTGTATTTGTTTCAGTCTGTCTTTTGAGACAGACAGATATTCACACATATTGATGCTTTCAATGTCTTTTTCTTCTTCATTTGTGATGGGTAAGTAAGCTCTGCTTAGGGCATCTGCAATCAGTAAATCCTTCCCTGGACAGTAACAAATGTTAAAATCATATTTCTGAAGCCTTAACAGCATACGCTGCAGTCTTTTTGGGGCATTCAGTAGTGGCTTCTTTGTAATACTTTCTAAAGGCTTGTGATCTGAATGCACCACCACTTGTCGACCGTAGGTGTACTGGTGAAATTTCTCTAACCCAAATACTACCGCTAGTAGTTCCTTCTTGATTTGAGCATATCCTTGCTCTGTTAGAGTTAACGCTCTGCTTGCATATGTGATTGGCTGTTTGACTACATTGACGTTCTCTGTTGCAGACTGCAGCTGCAGCCATGTGATGCCCTCTGTGCTGTCCTCGTCTGTGTCCTGGGTCACTGTGTGGACTTGTCTGTACTGTTTGCTGGTTTTGAATCTGCACACAGCTGAAAAGTGGTTCATCTTGCCACAACTCTTGCAGGACTCCCCATATGCTGGACATTTCTCTTTGTCTCTTTCATGTCTTTTGCCACAGTATTTACACTGGACTGAGCTCACAGGGAGCCTGGATCTTGTTCTGCCTTTCACAGATACTGTATGTACTGAGGCATCACTGGTGCCCTCCATCATCTTC